TTAACGGATTTTCTGCGCAGGCCTCGTGTTAGTAAAAATTCTACAGACCAAATGGCTAGTCGGTTTGTTTAGTATGAAGCAAGCACTAACCTAAAATAGCGCGCGAAAATCGGCAATCATGTTCGCCATAGCCACGACCTTCCATTTTCGATTTTCCTTACTAGGAACTTAGGAAGAAGCGATTATGGGGAAGCAAAAGCAGCAGGTAATTTCTCGATTCTTCGCTCCGAAACCCAAATCCTCACCACCGCCGACTCCGGTAGCCGAATCATCAACACCGCCACCAAAGATATCCGCCACCGTCTCCTTCTCTCCGTCGAAGCGTAAGCTTCTCTCCGACCACCTCGTCGCCGCTTCACCCAAGAAGCCTAAACTCTCTCCTCATACTCAAAACCCCACACCCGATCCCAATTTACACCAAAGGTTCCTCCAGAAACTTCTGGAACCTTCTCAGGAGGAGTCTCTTCCACAAACATCATCGAGGAAGTACACGCCATTGGAACAACAGGTGGTTGAGCTAAAGAGCAAGTATCCAGATGTGGTGTTAATGGTAGAAGTTGGGTACAGGTACAGATTCTTCGGAGAGGACGCAGAGATCGCAGCACGGGTTTTGGGTATTTATGCTCATATGGATCACAATTTCATGACGGCGAGTATACCGACATTTCGATTAAATGTCCATGTGAGAAGACTTGTGAATGCAGGATATAAGATTGGTGTGGTGAAGCAGACGGAAACTGCAGCCATCAAGTCCCACGGTGCAAACCGGACCGGTCCTTTTTTCCGAGGTCTATCGGCCTTATACACCAAAGCCACACTGGAAGCTGCTGAAGATATAAGTAGTGGTTGCGTTGCTGAAGAAGGATTTGGTGCCCAAAGTAATTTTTTGGTTTGTGTTGTGGATGAGCAAGTTAACAGAGAAACAACAGATTGTGGTCTGGAGATGAGTTTTGATGTGAGAGTTGGCATTGTTGGTGTTGAGATTTCGACTGGTGAAGTTGTTCAGGGAGAGTTTAATGATAATTTCATGAGGAGTGGATTAGAAGCTGTGATTTTGAGCTTGTCACCAGCTGAGCTGTTGCTTGGCCAGCCTCTTTCACAACAAACTGAGAAGGTACATTTATCTGTGTATGAAGTAAATGTTACTTATTCAAGCATTGCTGTTTCATTTCAACAATTTAGCTCCTTCATGGGTTTTACCAGATTCTGTCGGTAGTTATTGTGCGTTCTTGGTCGATGTCTATACATGTACCGATAGATGGTTTATTTATTTGGCAGTTTTTATTGGCATATGCTGGACCCACCTCAAACGTTAGAGTGGAACGTGCCTCACTGGATCGTTTTCGCAATGGTAGTGCAGTAGATGAGGTTATGTCATTGTATGAAGATATCCGAGCAGATGATAAAGAAATCAAGGTGCAGATTGCTGAAAAAGGAATGTCTTGCTTGTCAGTTCATGTATGACATTTTGATTTCGTAAAAACTGTCACTTTATTTCATTGGTGGTGCTTTTTAACGTGAGATTGTTAATTAATACATCTAGCTTTCAAGAAGAATTTTTTCTATTCAATACTTGCTGCAATTCCTGCGAATTTGTGCCTTTGTTGATGGTGCAGGCAATTATGAACATGCCACATCTGACTGTTCAAGCCCTTGCTCTGACATGTTGCCATCTCAAACAGTTTGGATTTGAAAGGATCCTTTACGAGGGGGCTTCATTTCGCTCTTTGTCAAGCAGCACGGAGATGACTCTCTCAGCCAATACACTGCAGCAATTGGAGGTGCTTTCCATTTAATTTGTTCAGTCACAATGTGATGTTCTGTGAATATTAATTTTTTCAGTCATTTTTTAGTATTTTAACTGAGTATCAATTAAAAATCTGTATCTATTTTCAGGTTCTTAGAAACAATTCAGACGGATCGGAATCTGGCTCCCTATTCCATAATATGAATCACACTATTACAGTATATGGTTCAAGGCTTCTTAGACACTGGGTAAGACTCACTTTTTTTCTTCTTAGCTTTTTTCACATAAGGGCTTTGTATATTTGGTCTTTTTTTGGAGTTTAGAAATGCAGCAAGTCATTACTGTCTAAGGATGTACCCCATTGTCGTCCTACAATGATACAAAACAATAATTTACTGGCATCTTTCAGTTCTCGTAGGGACATACACTTTCTCTACTTACCCTGAGAGTCTTCATGGAGTTTTTGTTAAGCGGTAGCAATTTTTTTTTTCTTCAAAAAATATTGTTTATCATGATTTGTTTGCACTTTTATTTCAACAGGTGACACATCCTCTTTGTGATAGAAATTTGATATCTGCTCGCCTTGATGCTGTATCTGAGATTGCTGCGTGCATGGGATCCCATAGCTCTTCCCAGATCATCGATGAGTTAGATGAAGAAGGTTCCGAGAGAAAAATTGTATCACCTGAGTTTTATCTCTTGCTCTCCTCAGTCTTGACAGCTATGTCTAGATCACCTGATATTCAACGTGGAATAACAAGAATCTTTCATCGAACTGCTAAAGCCACAGAGGTGAAACTTGGCCTGTCCTTTGCCCTCTTATATATGTGCCTGGGTTGAGTGAAGTTAGTTCAACTTGTATAGTGCAATACAGTTACAATTATCTGCACAGAGAAAGTATAAATCGCCACGGTTGATAAAATAAGTTGGTAAACGATACAGAGTCTAGGTATCTTTGCGATATCTAGTCAAAGAAGTACTTGCTACATAGTAAATTAGTAATAGCATCTGACAGATTTTGTTCAGTATTCTATCCTCTTTTCTCACATGATTTTCACTTTATAGAGTCATATGTAAAGATATAAAACTTTGACGGGCTAAGGCATTTGTTTTGTTAGTTATCTTGTTTAGGAAAAAGAAACAAATGGGAGAGCAATAATTACTGCTTCCCACCTTTATTTTTGTTAATTAAATCTTGCTTTACCGCTCATCCCCTCCTGAGGTCTGAGAGTCCTTAACTTTTTGGAAGAAAAGTTCATTGCAGTTATCGAAGCTATTTTACTTGCGGGGAAGCAACTTCAGCGGCTTGGCATAAAGCAAGATTGTGAAATGAGGAGTATGCAGTCCGCGACTGTGGGGTCTTCTCTTTTGAGAAAACTGATTTCCATTGTTTCATCCCCTGCTGTGGTTGACAATGCCGTAAAACTTCTCTCTGCCCTAAATAAGGAAGGGGCTGCTCGAGGAGACTTGCTCGACATACTAATCACTTCCGGCGACCAATTTCCTGAGGTTTGTCTCTTGTCTGGAAGTTGATACTATTTGCCGCTTCTCTCTTTATTTTCAGTATTGTGCATCACAGAGATTCTTAACCTGGGTTTGCTTTTCATGAATCAATTGTTTAGTGGAAATTTTGTATTCTATAACTCAGATTTATTATTTTCTATGCTCAGCTAGCTGAAGCCCGCCAAGCAGTTTCTGTTGTGAGGGAAAAGCTGGATTCCTCAATAGCTTCATACCGCAAGAAGCTTGCAATTCGAAATTTGGAATTTGTTCATGTGTCCGGTATCTCGCATTTGATAGAGGTACCCTCTAGAGAAACTCATAGTTCTTTTCTTATGATATTTCTCACTGCAAGAGTGCAGCTTTCATGATTCTTATTGAAACTACACCAAAATTGATACCCAAAAAGAATCTGTGTGTATCTGGATGAGAAAAAGTTTCAAGAAGATAGCTTTCTTTCTCATGCAAGTATCCATTAGAAATGATTCACAGCTGTTGAACCT